ATGAAGACATTAGGTTTATAAGTCTCAGAAATTCATACCCAGATGACCTCAAGGACACATGGCACAGTGGATAAAGGCGTTGGTTAAATCCAGTGAAATAAAGGGTTCAGTTCGACATTCCAACCGCCTGAAAAAAAGTCGGAGCGTACAACGGCCGAAACGGTGTGATAAATATGGCAACAAAGATGAGGATGATAGTCCGAACAATATAGTGTACCTAATGGCATACTGGTAATTTTGTGAGTTTCGTAGAACTGATGCTTGTTGTTACATAGTCTCAAGGCATTAGTTCTACAAAACACCGCAATTGTCTCTACCTACCCTGATGATGACTTCTTGGACCATATTTCTTGTACTTTTCTTCCGAAATGAACTTCGGACAATTTCTCACCGAATTTCCATCTTGTCTGAGAAAGACGATCATTGAAATTAATCGAGAAAAAATGTCTGTCGTTTTTAATAGTGTTTGCCATAAAGATCATTTGCTGCCTAAAAATACACAGAATATTGAATTTTGTAGATCGATAGCTTAGGTCTAAAGTGTGATCAGTAAATTATTATTGGCCATCTTAGGTCATTCGCTTGGTGCTTGAAATAAATGGAACCTCGACTTAATTGTCATTCAAGCTTATGTACACCGGTTAGTCATGACCGATATTTGTACAAAAGATAATGTGTGTGCATGCGCGCGTGCGTGCGTGTGTGTGTGTGTGTGTGTGTGTGAAAGAAAGATATATCTTTTGACTCATGTCTATAAAACACGAGATTAAAGAAGCGTGCTGTGTGAATATGGCTGCTGGAGAGGATATCCGTAAGTGGTTAATAGACATTTTGGAATAGAGGATAATGGTGGGGGTGTATTTGGACTAAAATGCCGACAAAAGGAGGTTTCTTACACGAAGTATTTCGGCTCCAGAGGAAAAAGACCGTGTACAGAAGGACGGGTAGTGTAAAGTAAGAAAGGATGATGTTTATATAGATATGGAAAACTAAAAAAGAAAGAAAGAAAGAATAAGGAAAAAGAAAAAAGAACAAAAATAAATAAGTTCAAAGAAAGAAAGAAAGACAGAAAGAAAGAAAAATTGAAAAAAGAAAAGAAAGAAAGACAGAGAGAAAATAAAGAAAGAGAGAAAATCAAAGAAAGAAAGAAAGAAAGAAAGAAAGAAAGAAAAAAAATGGAAAAGAAAGAAAGACAGAGAGAAAGAAAAGAAAGAGAGAAAATAAAAGAAAAAAGAAAGAAAAATTGAAAAAAGAAAAGAAAGACTGAGAGAAGGAAAAGAAAGAGAGACAATCAAAGAAAGAAAGAAAGACAGAGAGAAAATAAAGAAAGAGAGACAATCAAAGAAAGAAAGAAAGAAAGAAAGAAAGAAAGAAAGAAAGAAAGAAAAGAAAAAAAATTGAAAAAAGAAAAGAAAGAAAGACAGAGAGAAGGAAAAGAAAGAGAGACAATCAAAGAAAGAAAGAAAGAAAAGAAAAATTGAAAAAAGGAAAAGAAGGAAAGAAAGAAAGATAGAGAGAAGGAAAAGAAAGAGAGTCAATCAAAGAAAGAAAGAAAGATTGAAAAAAAGAAAAGAAAGAAAGACAGAGAAGGAAAAGAAAGAGAGACAAAGAAAGAAAGAAAGAAAGAAAGAAAGAAAGAAAGAAAAATTGAACAAATAAAAGAAAGACAGAAAGAAGTAAAAGAAAGAAAGAAAGAATAATTGAAAAGGAAAAGAAAGAAAGAGAGAGAGAGAAGGAAAAGAAAGAGAGACAAAGAAAGAAAGAATAGCCAATGGCAAGAAATTAAATTTTGCTATTAAATCACGACACAAAGATGAATACATTTCACATGATTTCATGATAATGAAGTTGTTAATTTTCGAAACATCTTCTATGAGCCGTGTCCATTCAAGACATTGGTGATCATGACTCTCCACAATTTCCTGTCTTTTGTAACTATTTGTTATTTTATTATCTCTCCTAAACCTTGTTCTGCCATCCATTTATTCATTCTTATTAGGTCGGTTGTGCATTATCTACCTAAGTCCGTCTTTGCCTTCAATCTGTCCTGTGAGTATTTAATTTTCCAAGCCCTTTTTCCACATGATATGCCCTAGCAATTTCAACTGCCTTTTCCTGGCAGTGTCGCTTTTGTTTCCATTTTCTCTGAAATTTCGTTGTTGCTAACATGTTTGGTTCTTGGTATTCTCAGTATCCTTCTGTAGACCAAAATTACTGTTGCTTCAAATCTTTCCTTCAGGGTCAGTTTCTGGGGGGTTCTCCGTGCTCGTAGGCTTGGCCAAAAATATTCCCTTTTTGAAGCCGCATAAACGGGTTCAGGGGCAGTCTGCCTCTCCGAACGGGACTCTGTAGAGCCTCGTCCGGGTTCCTCTCTGCCCGAAGGCAGAGAGTTCGACTGTCTAGCTGGAACAGGTCGCAGCTAGCCTCTGTAGTCCGTTGGCTTACAGATACTTATAGGAAGTTAATACGTATAGTGTAGTCACTCAAGGGGGTGACAGGTTATTCCATTAAATAATAATAATAATAATAATAATTGCAAAAATTCGACTGCCAACAAGATAAAAATTACATCACTTAGTGTTTTCCATATTATTTATACCCATAATGTTTAAGGTTTTTCGCATATTTTCGAAGGTTTTATTCGAAGATACGCAGAGTGACGCCGTTTGGCACAGATTGACATTCAACTTTGTCGCGCATGCACATAAAGCTATAACATACTCACTTCCGTTGTTTATAGCAGTGCCTGGAATGAAAGTCTGTAGAGTGTGGTCTTCACATACTACACTACAGAGGTTCTATCAGTGACTATGTTTTGTGCAGAAGTTTATGGCCAAAGACTATTTTCCCCTGATCAGACAACCAACATATTCCCTAGGTCTCGCCACGTTTTCCTCTTCAAAAATAAAATGCCACTTGAAAGTAGCAAAATTTCAAGTCGTCAAAGAAATCCAAGACAACGTGACGAGACAGCTGCTCGCTATCTCCCAAAAAGGAGTTCCAGCAATGCTTCTATTAATGGAAATGACGTTGGAGAAGATGTCTGGCTTCGAAAAGAGACTATTTGGAAGGAGATTAAATGCCGAATTGATATGTGTGGTAGAGTTATTTTTTTATTGTTATTTTGTGTCCCGATACTTTTTGGTCAGACCTCGTATTACGTCATTTTCAGAAAATTACTTTTTCTGTGTGTACGAAGACGGGTTTTCTCTCCATAAATCTCTGTATATTGCCTTTGAGGAAGTTAGTGAAGGAACGAAACGCGTTACATAAATATGTTGTCAGAGATTGTCATTTCACTGGCATATAAATTCAAATACATAGAGATAAATAGACTAAGATAGATAGATAGATAAATATGGAAAGAATGATAGATTGATACATATATATATATATATATATATATATATATATATATATATATATATATATATATGGATATATATATATATATATATATATGGACATATATATACATATATGGACAGACTAAATACATATGGAAAAACTGAGATAGATAGATAGATAGATATGGACAGACTGAGATAGATAGATAGATAGATAGATAGATAGATAGATAGATAGATATGAAAAGAATGATAGATTGATACATACATATATATATGGAAAGACTGAAATAGATAAATACATATGGAAAAACTGAGATAGATAGATAGATAGATAGATAGATACGGACAGACTGAGATAGATAGATAGATAGATAGATAGATAGATAGATGAGAACAGACTGAGATAGACATATATGGACAGACTGAGAAAGAAAGAAAGAATTTTCTCAGTCGAAGATGCACTGAAAAGGCCAAGGTGTACGCGTCTCCTGTGACTAATATACGACTGCGCCATTTCATTTTGTCACCCGTCCTTACTAAATTAATGTTGACACAGTGTGAGATGCAAAAACATAAATAAGTTGAAATTCGCAAAAGCTAATTTTAAATGCGATGCAGTTAAATTAAAAAAAAGTCCAACGTTCAGATGATTAATATAAATTACGTTTTGCTTCGCTAATATAAGATGTTGTTGGCAATAATTCGTTTTACTAAATTGTCTTATATATTAACCATAGATATAAAACATAGATAGATAGATGAGAAAAGACTGAGATAGACATATATGGACAGATTGAGATAGATAGATAGATAGATATGGACAGACTGAGATAGATAGAAAGATAAGAACATACTGAGATAGATAGATATGGACACACTGAGATAGAAAGATGAGAGCATACAGAGATAGATAGATATGGACAGACTGAGATAGATAGATAGATAGATATGAAAAAATGAGATAGGTATATAGATTGATACTTACATACATGCATAGATAGATATAGACAGACTGAAATAGATACATATTGAAAAACAGAGATAGATGTGACTGCGTGGGGCAGTTGCTAGATACACTAGCTGGAATCTGTTCTATCTGTGCTGTCGAACTCTCTGCCTTCGGGCAGAGAGGAACCCGGACGAGGCTATTAAACTCGGCCTTGTGCCACATCCTACCTCGTTGGGAGCCTGGTAAATATCGACTAGCAACTCTCTACCTTCAGGCAGAGAGGAACCCGGACGAGGCTATGCCAATGTCAGAGTCTCGTCCGGGGAGGTAGACAGACCCGAACCCGTTTAAGCGGGGTTTACGGGGAATTTTTGGCCGAGCCTACGGGCTTGGATTGAACCACATTAAATTCGGCCTTGTGCCACATCCTATCCGGTGGGGAGGTTGGTAAATATTACTACCTGGGATCCGTTGAATACGGCTCAGACTTACGCGTGAACTACCGACCTTCCATTAGTAGCACCCACTACTGGATTGACTTACGACAACCTTATTCATATTGTACTGGTTTTGTACAATAAATCTTTAATTATGTAATCCACCTTGTTTTCAAGTATATATTCCTATTAGCACGGACTATAACATATTATTATTATTATTAATTGATTTGATTTCGTAACTAACTCTTAGATGTTTAGGTGATGATGGTCACATCCCATCTATCTACATCATTAATACACATTTTCCTTAGTACCTGAACTATTCCAAGCAGCGCTGTCATTTGCGCACTCCCATTGATGTCAGATATCCCCAAAGCTCCTTGCAAGGCAGAGGAATATTTGATTATAGTTTTGAGTGCAGCAACCCTAAAAAGGACAACATGAGCAAACGTATTGGTACATTTCTCCGATTATCAGTGCCAAGGCAAGGTAACTCTATTATCTTGCTTGTTGCTGGTCTTCTTGATAGAGTTCAATTCCATCTTGTTGGAGGAGAATTATTCCCCCACCCTCCAACGTCTCTCTTACGGGCGGGATGTGACGAGTCTATCACTACTCTATCGTTACTACCATGGAAAGTGCTCGGACGAACTGCATCTCCTGCTTCCCCCAGCTCTGACCTTTACGGCAAGGACCCACCTTGCCACTTACGTAGTAACAAACCAACCTCATTCCCTTCATATTTCACCGGCGAGAAGTTCCACTCAAACAGCTTCTTCCCACGAACACCTGCCCAATGAAAAAGACTTCCTTTTTTTCTAATTGTATTTCTCTTAGCGTTCTTTCTTTTCTTTCTTTCTTTCTTTCTTTTTTCTTTCTTTCTTTCTTTCTTTCTTTCTTTCTTTCTTTCTTTCTTTCTTATACCCATCCTCTCTCACTCGCTTACTATTTCCTCAAAATGTTTTCTTGTGTTTCACCTTTTTTTTCTAATTGTATTTCTCTTAACGTTCTTTCTTTCTTTCTTTCTGCTAATTATCTTTTTCATCATTCTCTCTTTTCCTCATTATTTTTGTCTGGACGCTAGTTGGGCTTTCCTCTCCATTCTTACTTCCGACACTCTTGCCCTTTATTCTTTCCGGCTATCACGGGCATATCTAACCGGTCAGTTTCCTCAATTTACTTAATTTTGCTTCCATTACTTCATTCTTGGCTCACGTTCCTCTAAACGAATAACTTCTATACAATGTAAATAAATTTTGCATTAATTTTAAGTGTGTCGTTTGTTGTCCTCTTGTTGACCTGTCAGATTTCAGGTTTTTATTTTTAAAATGTTAGTGGGCCTCTTGTGAGTCATACTTATTTGGGACAAACACAGGACATATTATATCGCGCCCCCTCCTAGAAGTCCATTACATGACAGAAAGTATGGGGCACTCAGTGAGGATCGAACTTCCATGGAATATGGTCGTGCGAACTACATTCCTTGGTTCCACCAGTCCTAACCTTTACGGCTAGGACCCGCCATGCCACGCCCATTGTAGCAAAGCCCACCCACATTCCCTCTGTATTCCATCGGCGAGAAGTAAGTTTTACTCAAGCAGCTTCTTCCCGTGAACCCCTACCCTATGAAAAAGACTCCCAAGAGGATGCTTCCCCGATCACTACAATCTTAACCTGTTCAAGTCTACAGTTAACCTTTATCTTCCTCTCCTATCCATAACTTAACCCTCTACTAAGAGTGACCCCCGGGCAGAGTATAAGGTGAACCTTACTGTAAAAAATCATTTAAATCTGCCATATCAGTCATTAAGCAAATTCTACTGTCTCTATCTTTGATGATTATATCAAGTCGATTAGGGCAACTCGAGGCGCTGTAATGGTTAACAAGCTTGTCTCGTTAGAGCCATTACTAGTGAGTTCGATCCTCACTTGGTGCACCTTGCTTTAGGCCTTGTGCCACATCTAAGCAGCACTTAGAAAATCATTTCGGGCACCTCAAGGCGGTGTAATGGTTACCAAGCTTGTCTTGCTAGAACAATTACATCTGAGTAGTGAGTTCGATCCTCACTGGGTGCCGCCTACTTTCGGCCTTGTGCCACATCTAAGCTAAGCTTGGAAAATCTCTAGTAGTGAGTTCGATCGTCACTGCGTGCCCACTACTTTCGTCCGTGTGCCACATCTAAGTTTCTTTTGGAAAATCACAATATCAAGTCGATTATCTTTTATAGTTCCGTTAGCGTGGATTGCAAAGTCCCATAATACAATTATGTTAGCAATTTCTTTGGCAGAGTCGGAATGACATTCATACCATTTACAAGCGGCAAGATGGAATCTCTCTGTCTCAGGTTCGAGCCCAGAAATACACAACCAATGACGGATTATTATTACTAATATTATTATTAATATTATTACTATTATTATTATTACTAATATTATTATTAATACTATTACTATTACGAATATTACTATTATTATTATTACTATTACTGTTACTAATATTATTATTACTAATATTACTATTATTTTTATTATTACTAATATTATTATTATTACTATTATTATTACTATTATTATTATTATTATTATTATTATTATTCAAAGTATAAGATATTTATTGCTAGTATAACTTTTATTTTCAGGTTACTACTCGTGGCTTTAGAGAAGAGCTACTTTTTGCTGACTGACTGAATCCAATATTTTCCGGGGAATTCTCGCTGTTCCGAAGAGGTGAGCTTTTTCTACTGGCTCTATTTCCAAATTACATTCCAGTATCGGCAATGTTTTCTGCATGCTTATTGTACAACTGCTCAGTGCTCCAATGATTACTGGTACTGTTGCATTAAAGTTGGGATACTTTGGCTGTCTGTGCTTAAACCTATTTCTGAGCAATTACGTCAACTATTTAATTAAAATAAAATTGCTTACATGAAACTTAGTAACTAAATTGAACCCTACTATTTATTTAAATTTTTAAATTGGTACGTAGCAGATCGAACAACGATCAGATGTGCTATTGTTTAGGCAGTGTGACCCCTTATATAAAAAAGGACTTCTAAGAAAGAAATAGATATCATCAGACTATATAGAACCGCTGTCAGGCTCTGTACAGAGTATCCATCGGTTTCCACGTAGAACCCCAACGTGACATACACCGTCGTCCGTTGGAAGAGCTCTCGAACAAATAAGAGTAGCTTCATTTATCAAAGAGTGACCATTGGGCATCCGAGTGTATCTTTCTCATCTTTGTGAGCATACTCTGACCATAGTAGTTTCGGTCAACATTTGGCGAATCTGTCGTGGCCTCAGTGTGTGGCCTCGGGGTGTGACCACACGATGTGGCCACAAAGTGACAAAGGCTGGTTTGTTTTGTTTTACGGCATATCAACCTCAATGGGTTATTTAAAGCCAACAAAATTCTTTATTGCTTTTAATATTTCTTTCCAAAATTGTATTGCTGGTAATATTTTTTCTTCAAAAATTTATTATTAATATATTATGTATTGCTGGTAATAATGTATTTCTCATAATAATTTTTTCACAAGAAAGTATTTCTGGCATTAAAACCTATTTTTACACTTTGATAGTTTAGGGGTTAACTATTTGCTCATAGCTGGGATCCTACCACCCCAGGTCAGAGTGGACCTGGGAACACCAGCAATTAAGAGATGGTTCCACGCTCCTCAAAACCTCCCCTCAATCTACGTGTCATGGGGAGAGGGACTCACAGAGGACTCGATTTTGAAGGGGAATTTTAGAGACGCCTTCCCTAGCTTTACCATCACTCTCACCGTTTCGGAGGCTGAGCGCCACCGTAAGCCTCGGAATCAAGAATCGAGAGTGTCGGGCGGCCTTGAAGGCCTTCTTCGGTTCAGTGACCTTCTACATCCTCTTAGCTATAGTATCATGATCTAGTGGAGGGGGTCTCGATGGGCCGTCTTTGTGGCCGGCTCGGCTTGTCAGCATCAGAGTTGTATTCTTTCTGGTCTTGGACGCCGGCAGCGAACGATCCTGAATTTTCGCTTACCTGGTGATTGATTCGTAACATGCTACCTTTCAATGACGTAGCCTTCAGATAGGGCTGGGCGGATTTGTCCGCCTGTCACCGGTGTAACTTTAGCTTAGAGGAAACGGCTTCGGACGTCTTCTACTATAGTCCTCATGTGCGCCCTTTCTGGTATTATATGTCAGCTACTTGACGGATTTTATTGCTATCGATATACTCGTGCTCATCAATCTCGCGTACACGTGCGATAATGTGTCGCCCCCGTTTTCCAGAATGAAACAGCTGCTGTTTTTCACGTGGCTAGCCGTGGAAAAAATGGTGGTGTGGACGTGGCGAATGGAGAGTATCTTGCGATAAGAACGTTATTCTTATGAGGATCTGGTCGGATTCTTTGGGCATCAGCTCAGGCTGAATATCAGAACTATTAGAAAGAGTTTGATGTCGACAGATTTCAACGAAAGGTCGGTGACTATGACAAGCCTGGTTCGCGTCAACGGGGCTAGACTTGAATTTCTCTTTTAAATCCACTTAATCCAACGGGGAGGTTTCCTGTGACCCCCGCCAACAATCACTCCACTAGTTAAGTTAGACACTATTTGTTTTCCAAGTTAATGTGAGTAAATGTTGTTCCTGCCTTCTACCCTGCTCTCTCTCTTTTTTTATGACCCATGTTGAGATTCCCACCCAACCCCAGTTTGATTTTGAACCTTCTGGGTCAGACTTTGATTTTTCTCACTCCACTGTTTAATTTTTCTTTCCCACACTAGTAGGATGCTGCTTAATTCTGTTGAACGGCAGAATACAGGGATCTCACTTATTATTTTGAGGTTGAACGGACCTTACTAACATTTACTTTGTTTTACTTTGTTTTTGTTGCATTCTTTAGTTTTGTTTTTGGGTTCATTCCCTCCCCCATCATTTTCATTATTATATAATTTTTTTATAGGTTTGATTTGTTTTATGGCATATCAACCTCAATGGGTCATTCAATGCCGACAAATTTTTTTCCTGGTAATATTTTTGTTTTGTCAAAAATCTATTTCTGCTAATATTTTTTTCTTCAAAAGTGTACAGCTGGTAATATTATTTTTTCAAAAACTTATAGCCGGCAACACTATTCTTTCGAAAACGTATAGCTGGTAATATTATTTTTCAAAAACGTATTATCAGAGACCTTCCTGTTGGACGTAGTTTATCGTCTTACCCAGGACGCGGATGTAGTTTATCGTCATACCTAAGACGCGGATGTAGTCTGGGTATTAACTATTTGCCCATAGCTGGGACCCTAACAGGTGCTACCACTCCTGGATCAGGGTGGACCTGGAAACACCAGCAATTAAGAGGTGGTTCCACGCTCCTCAAAACCCCCTTATCAGAGGCCTTGCTGTTGGACGTAATTTATCGTCTTACCCAGGAGGCGGATGTAGTTTATCGTCATACCCGTGACGAAATATTTTTTTTAATTTTTTTATATATTTTTACAAAAAGAAAAGAGAAAAAGAAGAAGGCCGGAGCGTTCAACGGCCGAAACGTTGTAATAAATATGGCGACAAAGATGAGGACAATAGTCCAAATAATGTAACTAATATATCTTTGTTTTATCAAGTAAAAATAATAACATTACTGTAAATCCTTGTATTTGCTGTCAATTCTCTTGTCAAAAGAAAGGAAGACTTCTATTGGGAAGCAAGTCGTTTATTGCTTTCTAAAATTGACATTGTATCAGAAAACATCTTAGGATTTTTACTTTGATATACTTTAGCGCTTTATTTCTTCTTTCTGATCACCTCTTCATGGCACTCGTTCCTATATTACACAACTTTTATATATGAAGAACATTTTTAGGAAAATGTTTGACAAATTAGAAAAAAAATTGTCTGTGACGGGTTTCTTTATTTAAGACTTCATCGAACGAAACCTAATAAAAATGCTAGTTTAATTAAAAATCTATACATAATATATATCATAGATATAGATATATATGTATGATAAAAATATAGTTTTGAGTCATGCTATAATTGTTGAATTAAAGCGGTCGTTATCAGACATAGAGAGGATGTAAATTTTAAACATTGAGTTCAATATACAGTGGCGACAGTCAGTTACATGCTGAAACGCAATCAGTAGGCATAACGCTTGCTTCTAGGCATGAAACTGACTGTCATCACTTTTTACACACACACACACACACACACACACACACATATATATATATATATATATATATATATATATAATAGGTTAATGCATGCATGTGTGTGTCTTTAATCTTAATTTAAACATATTTTTATATACGGTTATCTTACCTAACTAGATTTTATAAATGGATTACAGAACAAACAAAGCGTTTGATGCGAATAATTTATATATTTCTGTTGATGCATACACCCACAATATATATATATATATATATATATATATATATATATATATGATTTATGTTTTGATTTGGAATTTACCGGACGTTAAGCCGAGCTGCGCTACTAACAAGGTATTTACTGAAATGGTTATCTTTAGTTGACTTTTACTTCTTTGTTTTTATTAAATATTTATTTGCGGTTGTAATTAACTATTGTTTCATCTTAACATTGAAGTCTTGAGTTATACTTAATTATTAACGGCCACAGTACCTCCCAAAAGACAGTAAATTTTTCTTACCTCCATTGCTTATAGTCATTCTGAGCCATAAACTTGCATTTGCATTATACTGACTCTCTAACCACATATTCTAAATAATGCTGACCGTATCAACATTTATCTTTACCCCAGATTGTCCGTAATGCTTGCTCTTGTTCCGCCATTAATAATCCCTTATAATTTACTTGTTATTGTTATTATCTTGAGAAAGTTAAAGATTTTCATTGAACAGCTTGTTCAGAAATATGCTAATTTGCGAAGGAAGCATTTCCACCAGGAATGGAGACATCTACTGGAAACCGGGTCGTGTATTTATAGGGGAAGTAACATCAATTCGAGCTTTTTCAATACATTTTAACGTCATCTATATAATAAATAAGAATGTCTGTGTGTCACACTTTTTTTAAAAAACTTTACTCCTAGAAGCCGTAGCCCAACATATCATACCATTTTGGAATCAGGCCGACTCCGTGAGCAAATTAAAAATCTTTCATGCCAGGTCTGGTACCGCAATCCTGAAATTTTGGATTCCCAAGTTTTTATGACTGCGATTCTTTTCGTTTTACGTGATTTTTTGCAACGAATGTTTTTGTACGATAACATTTTTTGTAACTTGGAAATAAATTTTGAAATAATCGAAAAGAGTTGCGAAATCCAGCGAAAGTTACCCATCAAATAAAAATAATTGTTTGTACGGAAAGTAAGGACCTACGCACATCAAATTGTCTTTACATTAAGTGGTGACAGAAGAATTATCGTTGAACTTTTAATGCAATATTTAATGCAGCGATCAATTTTGATTTCTTCTGCAGTTTATTGTTGGCAATCACATCTACTCCTCGAAACCTATTATGATGAAGGCCTAACCAAGAGGGGTCCGAAGGATTTTGCTCAAATGACGCCCAATAGCTAGTGATAAGATACTTTCTTTCTTATCAAGAATTTTTACACCGAAATTGTGAATTTCAGTTTATTTATATTTGTCGATCGATTCTAAAAGAAGGTAACATATGTGGGGCTACTCAGTGTAGAGTGAATATTTCCTTATCTGCTTTCTTTCTTTCTTTCTTTCTTTCTTTCTTTCTTTCTTACTGCTGTCTGTCATTCTTTCTGTCTTTCATTCTTCCGTTCTTTCTTTCTGTTTTTCTTTCATCTGTTCTTTCTTACTATTTTTCTTTCGTTCTTTCTTACTGTCAATTCTTCTTTCTTTTTTCTTTCTTTCTTTCTTTCTTTCTTTCTGTCTTCCATTCTTCCGTTCTTTCTTTCTTTCTTTCTTTCTTTATGTTGTCTGTCATTCTTTCTGTCTTCCATTCTTCCGTTCTTTCTTTCTTTATTTCTTTCATTCTTTCTTTCTTTCTTTCTTTCTATCTTTCTTTTTTCTTTCTATCTTTCTTTTTTTTTGTTGTCTGTCATTCTTTCTGTCTTCCATTCTTTTTCTTTCTTTCTTTCTTTCTTTCTGTTTCTTTCTTTTCTTGTTGTCTGCCATTCTTTTCTGTCTTCCATTCTTCCGTTCTTTTTTCTTTCTTTATTTCTTTCATTTTTTCTTTCTTTCTTTTTTTCTTTCTTTCTATCTTTCTTTTTCTTTTGTTGTCTGTCATTCTTTCTGTCTTCCATTCTTTCTTTCTTTCTTTCTTTCTTTCTTTCTTTTCTGTTGTCTGCCATTCTTTCTGTCTTCCATTCTTTCTTTCTTTTTTTCTTTCTTTTCTGCCATCTTTCTTTCTTTCTTTCTTTCTGTTGTCTGTCATTCTTTCTGTCTTCCATTCTTTCTTTCTGTATTTATTTCTTTCATTCTTTCTTTCTTTCTTTCTTTCTATCTTTCTTTCTTTTGTTGTCTGTCATTCTTTCTGTCTTCCATTCTTTCTTTCTTTCTTTCTTTCTTTCTTTCTTTCTGTTGTCTGCCATTCTTTCTGTCTTCCATTCTTTCGTTCTTTCTTTCTTTCTTTCTTTCTTTCTTTCTTTTTCTTTTGTTGTCTTCTTTCATTTCATTCTGTCTTCCATTCTTTTTCTTTCTTTTTCTTTCTTTTGTTTTCTTTCTTTTTTTTGTTGTCTGTCATTCTTTCTGTCTTCCATTCTTTCTTTCTTTCTTTCTTTCTTTCTTTCTTTCTTTCTTTTGTTGTCTGCCATTCTTTCTGTCTTCCATTCTTTCTTTCTGTATTTATTTCTTTCATTCTTTCTTTCTTTCTTTCTTTCTTTTTTCTTTCTTTCTTTTTCTATTTTCTTTCTTTTTGTTGTCTGTCATTCTTTCTGTCTTCCATTCTTTTTCTTTTTTTTTTCCTTTTTTTTCTTTCTTTCTGTTGTCTGCCATTCTTTTTCTGTCTTCCATTCTTTTTTTTTTCTTTCTTTTCTTTCTTTCTTTCTTTCTTTCTTTCTTTCTCTTTTTGTCTGTCATTCTTTCTGTCTTCCATTCTTTCTTTTTCTGTATTTATTTTCTTTCATTCTTTTTTCTTTCTTTCTTTCTTTTTTCTATCTTTCTTTCTTTTTTGTTGTCTGTCATTCTTTCTGTCTTCCATTCTTTCTTTCTTTCTTTCTTTCTTTCTTTCTGTTGTCTGCCATTCTTTCTGTCTTCCATTCTTTCTTTCTGTATTTATTTCTTTCATTCTTTCTTTCTTTCTTTCTTTCTTTCTTTCTTTCTATCTTTCTTTCTTTTGTTGTCTGTCATTCTTTCTGTCTTCCATTCTTTCTTTCTTTCTTTCTTTCTTTCTTTCTGTTGTCTGTCATTCTTTCTGTCTTCCATTCTTTCTTTCTGTATTTATTTCTTTCTATTCTTTTTCTTTCTTTCTTTCTTTCTATCTTTTCTTTTCTTTTTTCTTTTTGTTGTCTGTCATTCTTTCTGTCTTCCATTCTTTTTTCTTTCTTTCTTTCTTTCTTTCTTTCTTTTTCTGTTGTCTGCCATTCTTTCTGTCTTCCATTCTTCGTTCTTTTCTTTTTTCTTTCTTTTCTTTCTTTTCTTTTTCTTTTCTTTTTTGTTGTCTGTCATTCATTCTGTCTTCCATTCTTTTCTTTCTTTTTTTCTTTCTTTCTTTCTTTCTTTCTTTCTTTCTGTTGTCTGCCATTCTTTCTGTCTTCCATTCTTTTCTTTCTTTCTTTTCTTTCTTTCTTTCTGTTTTCTGTCATTTTTTTCTGTCTTCCTTCCATTCTTTCTTTTCTTTTTTCTTTCTTTTTTCTTTCTTTCTTTTTTCTGTTGTCTGCCATTCTTTTCTGTCTTCCATTCTTTCTTTCTTTCTTTCTTTTCTTTCTTTTTTCTTTCTTTCTTTCATTGTTGTCTGTCATTCTTTTCTGTCTTTCCTTTCTTTTTCTTTCTTTCTTTATTTCTTTCATTCTTTTCTTTTCTTTCTTTCTATCTTTCTTTTCTTTCTTTTTGTTGTCTGTCATTCTTTCTGTCTTCCATTCTTTCTTTTTCTTTCTTTTTCTTTCTTTCTTTCTTTCTTTCTTTTTGTTGTCTGTCATTCTTTCTGTCTTCTTCCATTCTTTCTTTCTTTTCTTTCTTTCTTTCTTTCTGTTGTCTGTCATTCTTTCTGTCTTCCATTCTTTCTTTCTTTTCTTTTTATTTCTTTTTCTTTTCTTTCTTTCTGTTTTCTGTTGTCTGTCATTCTTTTTCTGTCTTCCATTCTTTCTTTTCTTTCTTTCTTTCTTTCTTTTCTTTTCTTTTTCTGTTTCTTTCTTTCTGTTGTCTGTCATTCTTTTCTTGTCTTCCATTTCTTTCTTTTCTTTCTTTTCTTTCTTTCTTTCTTTTCTTTCTGTTGTCTGTCATTCTTTCTGTCTTCCATTCTTTCTTTCTTTCTTTCTTTCTTTCTTTTTCTGTTGTCTGTCATTCTTTCTGTCTTCCATTCTTTCTTTCTTTCTTTCTTTCTTTCTTTCTTTCTTTCTTTCTGTTGTCTGTCATTCTTTCTGTCTTCCATTCTTTCTTTCTTTCTTTCTTTTCTTTCTTTCTTTCTGTTGTCTGCCATTCTTTCTTTCTTTCTTCCATTCTTTTTCTTTTCTTTTCTTTCTTTCTTTCTTTCTTTTCTTTCTTTCTGTTGTCTGTCATTCTTTCTTTCTGTCTTCCATTCTTTCTTTCTTTCTTTTATTTTTTTCATTCTTTTTCTTTCTTTTCTTTTTCTTTTCTTTCTATCTTTTTTCTTTCTTTCTTTTGTTGTCTGTCATTCTTTCTGTCTTCCATTCTTTCTTTCTTTCTTTCTTTCTGTTGTCTGCCATTCTTTCTGTCTTCCATTCTTCCGTTCTTTCTTTCTTTCTTTCTTTCTTTCTTTCTTTCTTTCTTTCTTTCTTTCTTTTGTTGTCTGTCATTCTTTCTGTCTTCCATTCTTTCTTTTTCTTTTTTTTTTTTTCTTTCTTTCTTCTGTTGTCTGTCATTCTTTTCTGTCTTCCATTCTTTCTTTCTTTCTTTCTTTCTTTTTCTTTCTTTTCTTTTCTTTCTTCCTTTCTGTTGTCTGCCATTCTTTCTGTCTTCCATTTTTTCTTTTCTTTCTTTTCTTTCTTTCTTTCTTTGTTTTCTCGGCCTTTCTTTTGTCTGTCATTCTTTCTGTCTTCCATTCTTTCTTTCTTTCTTTTTCTTTCTTTCTTTTTTCATTTTTCTTTCTGTTGTCTGTCATTCTTTTCTTTCTGTCTTCCATTCTTTTTTTTCTTTTTTTTTCTTTCTTTCTTTCTTCCTTTCTGTTGTCTGTCATTCTTTCTGTCTTCCATTCTTTCTTTCTTTTCTTTCTTTCTTTCTTTCTTTCTTTCTGTTGTCTGTCATTCTTTCTGTCTTCCATTCTTTCTGTCTTCCATTCTTTCTTTCTTTCTTTCTTTCTTTCTTCCTTTCTGTTGTCTGTCATTCTTTCTGTCTTCCATTCTTTCTTTCTTTCTTTCTTTCTTTCTTTTTCTTTTTTTTCTGCATCATTTTCTTTCTTTTTTCTTTCTTTCTTTCTTTTGTTGTCTGTCATTCTTTCTGTCTTCCATTCTTTCTTTTTCTTTCTTTTCTTTCTTTTTTCTGTTGTCTGCCTTTTTTTCTTTCTGTCTTCCATTCTTCCGTTTTTCTTTTCTTTCTTTTCTTTCATTTTTCTATCTTTCTTTCTTTTGTTGTCTGTCATTCTTTCTGTCTTCCATTCTTTTTTCTTTCTTTCTTTCTTTTTCTTTCATTTTCTTTCTTTCTTTCTTTTGTCTGTCATTCTTTCTGTCATTTTCATTCTTTCTTTCTTTCTTTCTTTATTTCTTTTTTCTCTTCTTTCTTTCTGTTGTCTGTCATTCTTTCTGTCTTCCATTCTTTCTTTCTTTCTTTCTTTTTTCTGTTTCTTTCTTTTTTTCCATTTTTTTCTTTCTTTCTTTCTTTTTCTTTTTTTCCTTTCTGTTGTCTGCCATTCTTTCTGTCTTCCATTCTTTCTTTCTTTTTTCTTTCTGTTTTCTTTTTTTCTTTCTTTTCTTTCTGTTGTCTGTCATTCTTTCTGTCTTCCATTCTTTCTCTTTCTTTTTCTGTTGTCTGCCATTCTTTCTGTCTTCCATTCTTTCTTTCTTTCTTTCTTTCTTTCTTTCTTTCTATCTTTCTTTCTTTTGTTGTCTGTCATTCTTTCTGTCTTCCATTCTTTCTTTCTTTCTTTCTTTCTTTCTTTCTTTCTTTCTGTTGTCTGCCATTCTTTCTGTCTTCCATTCTTCCGTTGTTTTCTTTTCTTTCTTTCTTTTTCTTGCCATTTTTCTATCTTTCTTTCTTTTTGTTGTCTGTCATTCTTTCTGTCTTCCATTCTTTCTTTTTTCTTTCTTTCTTTCTTTTCTTTCTGTTTGTTGTCTGTCATTCTTTCTGTCTTCCATTCTTTCTTTTTTTTTCTTTTATTTCTTTTCTTTCTTTCTTTCTTTCTGTTGTCTGTCATTCTTTCTGTCTTCCATTCTTTCTTTCTTTTTTCTTTTTTTTTTTCTTTCTTCCTTTCTGTTGTCCGCCATTCTTTTCTGTCTTCCATTCTTTTTTCTTTCTTTCTTTCTTTTTTTTCTGTTGTCTGTCATTCTTTCTGTCTTCCATTCTTTTCTTTCTTTCTTTATTTCTTTCTTTCTTCTTTTCTTTCTGTTGTCTGTCATTCTTTTCTGTCTTCCATTCTTTGTCTTTCTTTCTTTCTTTCTTTTTTTTCTTCCTTTCTGTTGTCTGTCATTCTTTCATTTC